TCTCATTCTCATTCTCATTCTCATTCTCATTCTCATTCTCATTCTCATTCTCATTCTCATTCCTCTGCCCAAATTTCTCTGGCTGCAGTGACTTCTAGCTATGTGTTAGCTGACCGGTAGCCACAGAGGAACTAAGAACACTTGTTGGTCAAATCTGAAGGGACCCAAGCTCTGCATGTTGAAGCAGTTGTTGGACCTGGACCAGCTGCTCAGCTGTCTACATGTATGGGGAAAATCAAGGGCCAAGAGTTTATAACTTTGTGTTGTATAGTAATATGGTAAGGGTAAATTTTCAGTGTTGAGATAAAATTTTTATGACTTAAGCTGCATTCTACTCCTTCAATAACGTCAAGCTTCTAATGTTTAAAATGGTGAACTAAAACTACTGAAATCATGACACAATAGGTATAACCTATGAGCAAATGTTTGTCTACTGTTAACCTTTGGGATTCAGTATTTATATTAAACTATTTCTAGTGATTAACTTCTAAACTACATTAATTAAACAAAAATATTTTCTGAAGATTACAAACAAAAGAAATTATTTTCTTCCATCATTTGGAACCATCTATAATTCATCTGAAAACACCAATTGGATACCTGAAAAAATTGATGTAGGACAGCCAGGTTGTTTTATTCCTCCATTCGGATAAAAATCTATATGTCCCAATGGCTCTTGAATGCCCAAACCTGACAAGAAAAGCACCTGAGAATTACAAATTGTACCTAGGCTTACAACACTTGAACAAAATCAATTCTCCTACATAATCCATGATAATTACTTTTTATTTACATTTTTGAATTGAAAATAAAATAAAAGCTATATTTTCAAATATGAGCTTTTCTGTGTTTGTTTTCCAAACTAATTCTTCATGAAAATTTGCCCTATTTATTCAGTAAATTTAGAAATGACAAGTTTACCATGAGTCACTTGTGTTTCCTTTGCCATGAATAAATAGAAAAGCGAATAATCTTTGTAGTAGAAAATACTTCCTAGCAAAAGTAGGATATGATAAATAAGTACTATAACATGTTATGTCAGATGATAATAAGTACCCTGGAGAAAAATTAAGAGGAACAAGGGAAGAGAAAAAAACACTTGAGAACAGAGGTAGTTGGCCAGGGCATTTCTCACTGAGGAGGTTGAGTTGAGCAAAGACGTGAGAGAAATGAGGTAGTGAACAAAGTGGATGGGTATAAGCAGATGTGAGGCTGTCGAAGAAGTCAGTGTACCTGGAGCCTAACACACAAGCAAGGTCATGGAAGGAAAACAAATCAGGCCACAAATTAGGTCATAGTGATGACTCCCTCTCTCTTTGGATATCTCAGACTCATTGACTCACTAATTTGTCAGATTTTTAGAGTATGCTACTTCATCTGGAACAACTCTGGCCAAGGTGGCATACAATGTGTAGCTGTTAATTATGGTCTTCTGTAAATCTATACATATTTGGGGTGCTAGTTGACGTTTAAATTCACATACTATTAGCAATATATAACCTGTAACTCAGTAAAGGTACATTGTAAAAAAGATATCAAATTCAGCACACTCAGGACTACAGCAGGATATAAGATCTTTCTGCCAAATAAGATTGTTTGACTTAGAGTATAAATTTGCAGCACAATAAAATCCTCAAGAGGAATAGACAGCAGTTTTAGCATAACAAAGTTTTAGCATACTTGCATCTGACAGTAAGAATTAAATGTAGCAATGTGATTTAGTTTTAGTAATAAACAGAACACAGTAATGTCTAATGAGGTATTAGAGACACAAGAAAGTACTAGGCATACACATTAGGTGAGCAGGAGAAAAGAGGTTGTTTGACATTCAAGTAGAGGTAAAGGACAACTAAGATGATTTTCTTAGAAGACAAAGAATTCTGGGTAGTATTTATGAGTACCTAGTAGCCATATATGTAGGGTAGTATATGTGACTACCCATATTTGGCAGTAGCCAAATTTTGCTTCTGTTGAGACCTTAGTTGTACATCTGACAAACTGTAAGATTTAGGCACTATCAGGTGCCTAAATAGGGATTTCTCTTCATTCTGATTAGAATGAAAAGGGGATTTTCTTTTCTTTCTTTCTTTCTTTCTTTCTTTCTTTCTTTCTTTCTTTCTTTCTTTCTTTTTTCTTTTTTTTTTCAGAACCTGGGATTGAAATCAGGCCCTTGTGCTTGCCAGTGAAGCACTTGTTCTACTGAGCCATTGCCCCAGCCTGGGATTTTCAATTTGAAAATTGATTATATTTCTTCAGCTTGAGGAAATTCTGAGTTAATATCCCTTAAACTGTTGCTTCTCATTTACTTCTCTCTTTTATTGTAGGCTTCTAATTAAACATGATTCACTTTCTCACTGTGTATTGTGATGGCCTAAACCAAGACTCTTAGCATAAATATTGCCATGATAAAATGTAGCTGGCCCCAGAGTTTTAAAAAGAGGCCTATGTGTGAAACTAGTAACCATATGGAGGAAATTACCCTGAGAAAATGCTGACCCTAAACAATAACAGGATAAAAGTAGCCAGATGTATAGCAAGAAAAATACCTGTCTGACAGGCAGGATGTGTGCTGATCTAACTGTCATCAAGCAGGACATACTGCATGTCCTCCTTATATACTCTTTTTTTTTTTTTTTTAAATTTGTGTGTGTGTGTGTGTGTGGCCAGCTCAGCCCACCAGGGGGCGGGGCTGGCTGGCATGTGGTGCTGGGGGATTGAACTGCGGTCCCTGTGCTTTAGCTAAGCTTGTTCTAAGTAGGGGCTTTAGACCACTGAGCCATCTCACCAGCCCCCTCCTTATATACTCTTCACGATCTCCGGGCAGCACTGCTCACTTAGACTCTGAAACGGGGTCTATGCTGATGGTCGCTGAGCTCAGCTAATAAAAGATCTTCACATTTTTAATTGGCTACTTAAATTCCTATATTGATTATGAACCCATAACAGTATTTTAGACATCTTTGCTCTCTATATTATCCACACTTTTATCTTCATTTGCCTTTTTCTAGAAATTTCCTGCTCACCTAATTGCTCCTTCACTCAGTTTCCAATGTACTATTACACTTTTCTAATGTCGACCATTAATGTTAAGAATTCTCATTATTTTTATGTAATATAACCTATTTTGTATTATCTGTTGAAATTTTTAATCTTATCTTGTATTTCTCTGGGAAAGAAAGCACATTTTTATAAGCATTGAACAATAAGTTTAATATCTGGAGTCCTAAGATTCAATACGTATTCACCACTGATTTTGTTGTTTATTCAGTCTTGCTCCATGTGTGCTGGGGTGGCTTTATTTGAATGCTAAACATTTATATCAAAAGTTTTGTAAAATACTTAGAAATGAAAAATGATGAGATCTTCTTAGACAGGAAACTATTATTTTCTTCCGCTGTGCACCCAGGAGTGCTGGCAGTCAGGATCTCCTTTAACAAAATTCAATACGCTGGATTTTTTTTTCAAATCACCTCTAATGACATAGAAGCTTGGCTGCAGATCATACAAAGTAGGTTTGCTTAAATTTTATACTTATTCCAAAAGTATTTTTCTTTGGAATCCTAACACAAGAGTCAGAAAAATGTACAATCACCATGAAGGTATTTGAAAAACACTTTCCAGACTCTGCATCAGAAAACTGTTTATGAGAAAAGTGACGACAAATGCCAAATGTTTTTCCCTTTTTGTACATATTGAACTGGCAACTTTCTCCTGATGTTTCTGCAAGTAGGCCTGTCCAAATCACCTAGCTCACAGCTTTAGAATACCACTTGGTTTCTTAATATATACAAGTGACTACAGCAGGAAGAAATAGTCATTTGTGAGTTTTCAAGGAAAATACATTCTTTCAAATCTGAGCAGAGGCCAAGTATCTGGTTCAGAAATTCCTCGAGGCAGCTAAATATAAATAACATTCTATGTTTCTGATTTTGGTGCCCATAAAAAGATCAATAAGGAGGGCCAGGGAGATGGCTCAGCAGAATAAGCACTTGCCTGGCAAGCACAAAGGCCTGAATTCAACCCCTGGTTCTGAAAAAAAAAAAA